GGAGCTCTGGTAGCGTAGTGGTTACGAATCGGGCTGCGAACCTTAAGGTCAGCGGTTCGAAGCTACCAGCCGCTCCGCGGGAGAAAGATGAGGCTTTCTACTCCCGTAAAGATTTACACCCTCGGAAACCCTATACAGGGTCGCTATGGGTCGGAACCGACTCGATGGCACATAACAACAACAACAACAGTTTCTTAAGGTAGGCATTGTTGTTAGCTCCAAGTACAGAGAAGAAAACTGAGGCATAGAGGCATACCCATTGGTATCTAGTCATATAGCTTTCAAGTGGAGCAATCAGGAGTCCAGTCCGTACCCTCGCCACTCTCTTCCTTTGTAAGAACATCCTGGGAAGAGGGGTTTGTGGGCTATGATGGAGATGGGGCCGTGAGTGGGAGGAGTTGCCATGGTGAAATCATGGCTTGTAGCAGGTTGAAGACTGAATAGGGATTGAAGATGCAGAGAGATTGTTTGGCTTTTTTGTTGTTGTTAAGTACCGTCGAGTCGATTCCAACCCATAGCAACCCTGTACAGGGTTTCCAAGGCTGTAAATTTTGACAGGAATAGAAAGCCTCCATCTTTCTCCCACAAAGCATCTGGTAGTTTCGAACTGCTGCCCTTAAGGTTTGCAGCCTGATTCATAACCACTATGGTACCAGAGCTCCTTTTTGTTCTTAGGTGCCATCAAGTCAATTCCAACTCTTAGTACCCTATGCACAACAAAACAAAACAGTGTCTTGTGCCATCCTCACAATTGTTATTAAACTTGAGCCCATTGCTGATGGCCATGTTGTTGGGGGGTGGGGGAGGGGTCTTTTTTTTGCTGACCTTCCATTTAATTGAGCATAATGTCCTTCTCCAGGGACTGGTCCCTCCTGATAATATGTCTGAAGTATGAGAGATAAGTCTTGCCATCTTTGCTTCCAAGGAGCATTCTGGTTGTACTTCCAGCACAGATTTCATAGTACTTTTAATAGTCTTCTCCAACACCATAACTCAAATGCATCAGTTCTACTGTTTTCCATATTCACTGTCCAACTATCATATGTCTATGACACTATTGAAAATATCATGACTTGGGTCAGGCACTCCATGGTACTTTTAATATTCTACTCCAACACCGTAATTCAGATGCATCGATTCTTCTATGGTCTTCCTTATTCATTGTCCAACTTTCACATGCTTATAAGGTGATTGGAAATCAGCGCTATGGCTTGGGTCAGGCACACCTGACCTGACTGATAGCTTTGCTCAGAGGTATTTTGCAGCCGATTTGAGGGAAGAACATGCTCACCATTTTTCAAGCGAGGGAACCGAAGAAAAAATGCAAGCCTCAACTCGGAATATTGAATGATGTAGAAAGCATCAAAATAAGATGGAAGGAATATACAGAGTCACTGCATCACCACAAAGAAATGCCCGGTGTTCCACCATTTCCAGAGGTTGCATATGATCAAGAGCTAATGGTACTGAGGAAGAATTCCAAGGTGCACTGAAGGCATTGGCAAAGAACAAGGCTCTGGGAATTGATGGAATACAAATATTTCAGCAAACTGATCCTGCACTGGAGGCACATATCTCTGCCAATAAATATGGAAGACAGCTACTCCATACTTGTGCTATTCCTCACAAAGGTGAAAATAAAATTCACATGCAAGTAAAATTTTGCTAAAGATAAAAAATGGATGCAGCAGTACACAGAGAACTTCCAGTGCTTCAAACCAGATGAGGATATGGAACGAGGAGTTGCTGATGTCAGATGCATCTTGGCTAAAAGCAGAGAATACCAGAAAGATGTTTGTTTGTGCTTTGTTGACTGCATAGAGGTTTTTGCATGTGTGCCTCATGATAAGCTATGGACAGCATTGCAGAGAAAGAGGATTCCACAAAACTTAATTGTGCTCTTGAGTTACCTATACATACACCAAGAGGCAGGCATTTGAATAGAACAAGGGGATACTGAATGGTGCAATATTAGGAAAGGTATGTGCCGGTGTTGTATTCTTGCATTATAATTATTCAATGTGCATGTTGAGCAAATAATCTGAGAAGCTAGATTATATAAAGATGGATGTGGCATCAGGATTTGAGGATGACTCATTAACAGCCTAACACCCTGCGATATGCATATGGTACAACCTTGCTTCCTGAAAACGAAGAGAACTTTGAATACTTACTGATGAAGCTAAAGACCACAGCCTGCGGTATGGGTTGCACCTTAATGTAAAACATCAAAATAAGTGGAGAAAAGTTTGAAGCTGTCAAAGACCTCATTTTACTCTGATCAACCATCAACACTCATGGATGCAATAGTCAGGAAATCAAACAACATATTGCATTAGGAGAATTTGCTGTAGAAGATCTCTTTAAAGTGTTCAAGAGCAAAAATTGTCAGTTTGAGGACTAAGGCGTGCCTGATCCAAGCCATGATAATTATCCATAGCCTTGCAATGAATAAGGAAGACTGTAGAAGAATTGATCACATTTAAGTTATAGTGTTCGAAGAGAATATTAAAGAATACCAAGGAAGGTCAGAAGATCAAATCTGTATTGGAGGAAACACATCCAGAATGCTGCTTAGAGTGGAGGTCCCTGGGACCATCAAGTGAGAAGAGTGGAGTGCAGGACCCTACCCAGAGAAGCAATGGAGGCAGAGATGATGACGTGGAGGAATAGAGCAGCTGGGGAACCTGCCCTCAGGGAGGGAGAGGGGCTGTGTGCTGATGGCCATGGGGCAGGCTTGCAGGGTGTATGTACCCTTTGGTTGTTTGATGATGCATGGAGGGGATTGTAACCATGGCAATGAAATATGATGAGTGTAAAGCTAATGTTCTCCCATGTAAACTATTACATAATTCACAATAAAAACCTAAAAAAAAAAAAAACCCATAATGCTCCTTTGAAGCCAAGATGCCCAGACATTGTCTCTCATACCTCAGAGTTATTACTAGGGGGCATCAGTCCCTGAAGAAGGATATCACACTCATACTTTATACTTGGTAAAGTGGAGTGTCAGCAAAAAAGGATTTCCATGCCTCAATCCCCCACCCGCAGCAAGCTGTATTGGCACAGTTGCAGCAGTAATGGACTTTGTTGATGGTGAGATTAGCAAAGGACCAGGCCATATTCTTTCTGTGAGTTGGTCCCAACTGGACAGCACCCGACAACAACAAACGTTCCTTTATAGCCAGAGGCTACTTTCAGGTAGATGTTCCTCTGCCACCTAAGATGTTCTGTTCCCTCCAGACACGGTGCGTTCGTAAGAGGGCTATTTCTGGTCCCAGGTACTTTGTTTTAAACTCTGTTGCCGCTGTTGTGACAGGACTCTTGTGTTGTGGTGGGAACCCTAGCCACTGTTAGCTGTATACACTGTTCTTGCAGGGCTTGGCCGGTGTGCACTCAGTTGCTGCCATTTATTTTCCCACTGTGGCTTAGTTCGGGTTGCTGCTCTGTCACCTGCTTTTAGCCAGGGATATTTTTATGTGATTTTCTCTACTTTTTGTTTTGGATAAATTTTAGCAGCTGTTAGAATTAAATCCATGCAGCTACCACTTTGTTACAGAAATTCCGAAGCTGTTTTCCTTTTGAGCTTTTCATTCTATAAACATTATAGTCTCCGTTAAGTTCTGATACTTTATAAAAGCAAAGAAACTGCTCCAGACTCTTGACAGACTGGCAACTATGACTATTGGTGGTTTGTCACTTGCTTCAGGGTCTGTCTCCTCCCCTCAAGAGAACCCTTAGGTCTGCTTTCCTGTCAGGCATGTTAGCGAGATTACCCCACTACACAGCAGCTTTTCCATTTCGGCAAAGGGTTACAGCAGCTTTGGTATCTCTTGTGGTATCTCTTGCCAACTGTCCTTTGATGAATAACCTATGTTGTGTTTCTGATTCCTCCTCTTTGTCTTTGCTGACAGATGTTCCTACACATTCCAGGTTCACTTTCCTCTTGTTGATTGGGCCTGTTAGGTGGGAGGCAGGGAAGATGTTTGCAATGCATTGCCCCAATACCCCGATGGACATCTGATTGGGGATTCAGAGAAGCAGGTGAAGATTGTGGTTACACTCGATGAGTTTGTATTTTCTTGAATGGATTCAGAGTAACTGTGTCATATCATTGTTTCCCCCCAATAGTTTTTAAAAGTAACAAGGCTTGAATGGTTTTCTTAAAATGAAATAACCACATATGATAGAAATATTAGGATAACCCCTTACCCTTAGACAGCATATACCTACTTGGTCCTAGTTTATATAAAATTTGTATACTATTGTATTATGCCATTAGACATGTGGGTTTTACATTTAACTCCGATGCCATCAATCTTCTACATGTTTTGCATGGTGGGGATATTCTTTTTGTCCTTCCCCACCATGCAAAAGATGTAGGGGATTGATGACATCGCAGTTCATGTTTCAAAGTAAGTTCCTTTTGGTCTTTCTCAATTCATTATTTTAGTTTTATATTTTGTTGTTACATAATACACCACCAGGTGATTTATATACTAATACACTAGACACTAAGATTATCTAGTTTTATAAATAAGGTAATTTTGAACATAACCTTTTTACGTATTTAGAACTATTTTCTTGTGATAATTTGCATAAATGGAATTACTAGTTCACCAGAGCTGTCGAGTCAGTTCGGACTCATGGTGAACCCTGTATAGGGTGGGTTTCTGAGCAGTGGTTGGTAAGTTTGATCCACTGACCTATCAGTGCAAACCAACCTTGGGGTCAAGCGCTTATCCTATAGTGCCAGACCACCGAAGACCAAAGGAGGTATGTTAGCATTATGGGTTATGAGTTGGGCTGCTAACTGCAAGTCTAGCAGTTCGAATCTACCAGCCACTCCATGGGAAAACGATGAGGCTTTCTGCTTCTGTAACATTTCCTCAGAAAACCTATACACGGTCACTGTGAGTCGGAATCGTCTGCATGGCACAGCCACCACCACCGTTAAAGCAAATGTCAAACCAAAATCAGTATTTTGTTTTTCTCATTAGGGAGTTCTGGGAAATCGTTCATTCATTCACAGATGAACAGAAACGACTCTTCCTACAGTTTACAACTGGCACCGACAGAGCCCCTGTGGGAGGACTAGGAAAATTAAAGATGATCATAGCCAAAAACGGCCCCGACACAGAAAGGTAATTGCAAACTCACCCTCTCAGAAGGAAACTTGTGCTTTACTTCACGCAAGTATGGAATTGCCCTTGTAGCTTCCAATGGAAATTTCACAATCAGATGAAACAGTGGGGCTCCTATTGATTTGGAGTTTTGAAAATTAGTTTGGTTCAAAGCCACATTTCATAGTGAACAAGTGATTGGACTGAGGCTTGGGATTAGCTCATGCTAAAACCTTCATTTGTGTATTCTTGCCGTTTGTATTCTTTCCCAATTGTGTATAACTTAGTATTTTTGGTAAGCAGGAACCATACATTAAATAATGCATATTTAATGGCTAAAATGTATAAAGCTTCCATCAATCTTTTGTATTATTTTACACATAATAGATTCTAATATATAAATGGATTCATATTGCTAGCAAAATTTGTGATAAAACAATTGAGGACCGTATTGGAATCTTGAAAAGTAGGTTTAAATATTTCATCTTAAAGTAACTTTACAAGAAGACACTGAGATTTACTCTGTAGGCATCTTTAAAAGAATGCCTGGTATGAAGTGTAGTAATGCCGTAAATGCATCCTTATTTGTCGTGAAGATTCTTATTGCTGTGTATGGTCTCTACTCAGGCCATGCCAACTCTGTGTACCGTGTAACATTGGACCATGTGTCGCATGACTTACACTTCTTCTGTATTTTCCCCCTTTCTCTCATTTTAGGTTGCCCACATCTCATACTTGCTTTAATGTCCTTTTGCTTCCGGAATATTCAAGCAAAGAAAAACTTAAAGAAAGATTGTTGAAGGCTATCACATATGCCAAAGGATTTGGCATGCTATAAAATAATTTAAAGGAAAAAGAAAACTAAGACAAAACAAAACAAACAAAAAAACGGGAGAAAAAAAAGGAAAGGGAAAAATAAAGATAAATTTTAATAGACATAATGAGGGATAAAATTTGTGGTGATGGTGTCCCAGTACAAAAAGGCTGTATATGAGAGAGTGAGGTGCAGTAGCAATCTGTGTCTGTGCCCCCCTTCTTTATTGGGGACAATATGGGCTGGAACAGCACATTTCAGCTGCTTAAATGAACAAATTGTTTATTTTATTAGTGTGTATGTGTGTGTGTATGTGTGTGAAAGTGTTACATATTCTTTCACCTGTATGTGTACAGAGAGGTTTTCTGAATATTTATTTAAGGGTTAAATCACTTATGCTTGTGTTTAGTACTGCTTGAGGTTGAGCCTTTTTGAATATTTAAAAAAAAACAAAAAAAACATATAACAACAAAACTACTCTCCCACGGAAAATATTGCCATCATTTGTAGACTCTGTAACCTTCAAGTATGTGCTATTTTTTTGTCCCTGTGTCTAATTCAAATCAGGAACTGTTTTTTTGTTTTGTTTTGTTTTAAAAACCATTTGCTTTTGAAACTTGAAGTCTTAGAAACAGTGTGATGATGCATTGCTGCTGTTCTAGCCCCCAAAGAGTTTTCTGTGCATATTCTTGAGAATCAATAAAGATGGAAGGGAGAACCTGGAATGTTAACTGCAGCCTTCAGAACCTGACTTAAGCTAACAGCACAACAAATTAAAAACAACTCATGCCACAATATGGTGTCTTCATGTGTCTTGCAGTGAACTGTTTTTATAGCCAATCCACTTCCTTAGCATCTAAAAGGACAGGGATTTGTTGTTGTTGTTACTGTTGTGTTAAGTTTACTGGGAACAGTGCATTTGGCCAAATGAAATGGTGATTAAGTGGCAAGAAAGTTAGGAAATTCTTTACTATAAACAAAAAGCATGTGAAAGTGCACTTAATGGTCATTTTTACAAATTAATTACTCACCTGGATTTTAAATAAGAATCCAAAGTCTTCCCTTTATGTTGTCATCATCTTGTCTCAGCCGCCCAATTAAGGCACATGGTCAGTGTTGTAGCGTAATGTAAGTGGCAGTTACTGGGCCTTGTTTCCCTTAATCATCCATCACGCCAGCCTGGAAATGAGCGGAGCTACTACTCCTAGCATCCCCAGAGATAAAAATCCACTTCAGAACGTGTTAAAAGATTACTGTACTGTGGAGAAATACAAATACGGTTCAATTGCTGGACATTCAGAAGTAGTATCCCCTTTTCCTAGTTTTCTGTGACTATGATGTTAATTTCTCTTATTGCAATCTAAAATTTAAAAATTATGTATTTTTAACTAAGGAGAGACATATTGATAAATTCTTTTTGCTGCAAGCTATAGTTAATGTGCTCAGCTTGTGCCTTGTCGATTGTTTTAATTATTACAGACCAACCAGATGGTTTGTTTTAGATTAGCATGAAAAATCCAGATTTCAAATCATTGGCGGGAAAAAGATATCTTTCAGGATTATATTAATAAATTATTTTAGTAATTGAGACAAAACTATTGTGTGCCATAGTGCTAAATAAAACAGTGACGTTTTCACCATTATTTAGTGGAAAAGAAGACTGTGCTTTCTATATTCTGATGAGGTAATATGGTTTCTTATAGGCCAACCTTTATAATACTATTAAGTTGTGTATGCTCCTTTGATGCAAGGGATCTTAATGAATCTGCAGTCATCTTAAAAGGCCTCTCATCCACTGTGTCTCTATGTGTAATGAAGGTGAGAACAGGAGAAGCAAATACTCTGGGGATATTTTAAATAATAAATTTGTAAAGAAATGTGTACTCATCAATTCTCTCAAGTTTTATTATCACTACACCGGGGAACCCGGTGGTTCCATAGGATAAAAACTGGATGTGAGTCAAAGGTTGGCAGCAGTTCAGGCCCACCAGCTACTTCCATGGGGAAAAGATGAGGCTTTCTGCTCTTGCAAAAGATTTAAGGCCTTGGAAACCCGACACAGGGTTGTTATGAGTCGTAACCGACTCCGTGGCACATCACAACTAACTGAAGTTGTAATGACACAAAAACTTTTGTGGGTGGTAGTAGATTACTTACTAGCTTGTAGAATCCGTATCAGATAGAGTGCTGGAATTCTATTTCAGTGAAACAGTTGAAAATTTAACATAGACAGACATTGATTGGCTAGACAGGCTGTTCTCAGTTGCTTAGTAATTAATTATCCTGTGTCATTGCTGTGTTTATACTAGGGTTGACTCAAGTGTCACTGAGTTATAGCTTAAGGAAAACAGACGTTTTTACCAGACTGGCAAATCCTTCCATCCCAATGTCATGCTTTAAGACTCTTTTGCTGAGATATTATTGTATGTAGTTTCATTTTCTGTGACTCTACCCACAGCATCAGGGAACCTTGGGGTTTGGGTGAAGGCCAAACAGTAAGTAAAATAATTAGCTTTCCAAATAAAAACAACTTGGTTTTGCATTATAATTCTCGCCCCTAGGAATGACTGGTTAGTTTCAACTGCCGGCCTTGCAGTTTAGACTTAACTTGCGGTCCAGTGTTCACCCTACAGCACCACATTGGGGCTCCAAGCCTTCCACTAGCCTTTCTCAGAGGATAATATCTTTCCTACTCTCAACCTCTGGTGTGGCGCTGTGGGTTAATGCGCCAGACTGCAAAGCCGGTTGAACTGCAAAATTGGTGGTTCAAGCTCACCAGCTGCTCCTTGGAAACCCTATATAGGGGTCACTATGGGTTGGAACTGACTCAACGGCACTTAACAACAACAACCCTCCACTTTAGCCAAGAATCCCAAAGCATAGCTTTTACATGCTCCCTCATCTTTTCTCTCTCTTAGCTGAGTGTTAGTATGTGGAGGAAGTTCAGCCTCCCCGACACCATGCCTTTCTTGGTGCACATCCTGTGGATTGGCATTTGTTAATCACTGCAGTGGCTCCATGGAAACTTCAAGGGTAAGGGGAAACTTTCTAGTTGGCCAAGTCCGGAATGCCTGTCTTTGACCTTGATAGCACCCTGACCTTGCCTGCTCCTTCTCGGACTGCTTGTTTTTCAGTCCCCACGCCTAGTCCCTCATCCGTATTTAGACCTTAGATGTTTTACTATAATTACACTTAACACGTTTTTGTCTCTACTTGTCCAGTCTCTCTGGGTAGCCTCACCTGTTGTCAAGATCCTTGTAGAAATTCATCTTGTTCAGACCTCTTTTCTAGGATGTCCTTCTGGTAGCTCAAAGTAAATACACCAGAAACAAAATTCATCTTGCTGCTCCCACCTTTTCTTTGTTCCTTCCTTAAAGCTTCCATTTCAATCCAGTTTTAAGAAGTCACTTCCATCTTTAATTCCCCTACCTGCCAATGGTTTATTCTTAAACCTCTTTATCAGTCCTCAGTTCAACTCCCTGAGTCTGTTATGCATCTGTACACTGCTCTTCCTCTTCATTCTGCTAGAATCTCAATCAACAAAGCTAACAACTGCCCCCACATTTATTTACCCTTGGTAAATCTCCAAGCCTGCCATCCAAGCCATCTGTAGTTTGGGCCCTGTGTACCTTTTACAGTTTGGGTCTCTGCTAAAGTACCCCGTCCTTGCGCCTCCAGCCAGCACCTTATCATACCTACTTCATGTTACTCAAAACCAGTTTCTGAAAGCTCCCCATCCATAAAGACTGCTTTGATCCCACAAAGGGTCTCTGTAAACTCAGCAACCCATGCTTGTTAGGGTAGCACAGCATGTTAGGACACGCCTTTTGTACTGCACAAGTAGAAGTCACTGGGATTATTTCATAGGGTCTTGGGCCATCCTCAGTAAGTTCATCACATATTTTAGTGCTTTGTTACGAGGCTTCTGTTTTAAATTTGTCTAAACCTGAAAAGGTTTGGACAACATTGCATATGTGTCAGCAAATTCATGACTCCTGCCCCATGTATGGGTGCGTTGCTAAAGGTGGCGCCATCTTTCCACTCAGTGTGTCACCACTTGAATGAAAATACGCCACCTGTTTGGTCACTGAAGCCCGCTCCTGTCTCCTTGGATGTCCTCCTCCATCCTCCACCTCAAGTGTACTAAAAATACTTTATATTTTTAAATATTTGAATACTTAATGGCTAAGGACTTGGCCCTTCAGGAGGAAGCTCCCTAGAACCACTGGCTCTGTCCTTTTCATTCTAAATGGAAGATCAGCCAGAGAGGAAGAATGAGAATGAGGCCTTGAGAGCAAGATTCGTGCCTGCCTTGCCCCCCTGTGCTCTAGCAGTCAGGATCTGTGTGCAGCCAGCCCTCTGACCACTCTCTTTCCCCCACAGTGGGCATCATGCGTCATCCCCACTGCTGCCAGCCAGCTATCACCCTGTCAAGGAGCAATTAACCTAATAATGCCGCATCCATTAGGAGTCTGCCTCCACCACCGAGACCCTGGCAATCATAATCATCTTTTCCCCTCTGGACTTGCGTATCCGGGGCATTTCATACAAATGGAATGTTACAATTGGTGGTGGTAGGTGCCATCGGGTCGATACTGGCTCACAGTGAGTGACTCCATGCAAAACAGCGAAACGTTGCCTGGGTCTGAGACAAATTCACAATCATTGTTATGTCTGAGTGCATCACTACCGCCACTGCCAATCCATCTCGGGCTGACCCTCCCCTTACCGAACATGATCCTCCCCGACTTCTCCAGTGCCTGGTCCCTCCTGATAACTTGTCCAAAGTATGAAAGATAGTCTGGCCATCCTAGCCTCCAAGGAGCACTCTGGCTGTACTTCTTACAACACAGATCGGTTTGCGCTTTTGACAGTCAATGGTACTTTCAATGTTCTCTTCCACCACCATAACTCAAATGTGTCAATTCTACGGTCTTCCTTAGTCACCATCCAACTTTCGCATGCATCTGAGGTTATTGAAAATACCAGAGCTTGGTCAGGAGCACCATAGTCCTCAAACTGAATC